ATCATCGCATCTCCTAGCGCAGATCTACAAACACAACTAGCGTCTGCAGTGACTCCGCACCGCTCCGGCTCGCAAGCGATGGCTCTGTCTGACCTGCTCGAGCTTGCCACTCGGGCAGGACAGCGCACGTAATGGTAATTTATATGCATTCCCAGTCTATAGCATAATTTACGCGGTAACACATGTACTATGACCACCCTCCCCAGCAGCGAGGGCGTCGGCGTTAAATACTCGTTACAGTTCAACAACACCCAACCCAATAAGACAGTAAACCACGGCGCGGAGAAGAGACGAACGCAACAGATACCTGAGGGTTGAGTATCTCAATAGCGGATCAGCGACGCGCTACCCAACAACTGCGGCTAGAGACGTTCAGAAGCGCTTATCTCGCGGATGCCGTTAGAGGGACGTACGTCGATGGCTTGCTCGGTTCGAGTTGCTTGCATGAATATTCTGAAAATCGTGAGCGGAGGAACCTTGGTCATGTACCCCTCGCTATTCAATCCGTCCCGTCAGTAAACGAAGTGTGGACAGGGACTTCATTCGACCCTTCGACTTGTATATGGGTGCGCCTGGATGAAAATACTCCGGACTCATAGTATACCTTCATCATGTATGCTCACAGCCGACCGACCGTCAACATTTGATGACCACTCACCTTAAAACATGACGCATTAGTCCTATGCAGTCGCAAGGCTCGAATCCGGACGCAGTAATCAACCTGGACGCGTCTAGCTTGACCGCTGGACCAATGAATCGCTCTATTATCCACTCTATCAACATTGTCGCCGGTGAACGTGTCATGGGTTACTCCACCAGTTCAGCAGATATACCAGGCGTCTACAAGGACAATTGCGCGCGAATCACCTGAGCGGAATATGGGGAAATCAGATTGACGTGGAGAGCTGGGTCACAGTAATCGGGACGGCAGACAGAGGGTTCATGGTCGGAAGCCAATGTAACATGTCCGAAGTCGACGAATAACGAATCTCGTTACAGTATCTCCTCCTGCCTCATGACACAACCACCTGCCTCCGCGGCTCTTCTGTTTGGACGGGGGACATACCATGTATTATTGAACTTCTCAAAATGTCAATGCAAGGCGTAGTGGACATTGCCGGGTGCAGAACGCACCAACATGATGCAGCTCTACTGAATACGGACTCACCGAGATTGACGAGCCAGCCGGAAAATTCCGCTAGAGTTCGACGGATTCGAGGAGAACGAAGACCATGTTCTGTTCCGAGCCAAATTCCTCCGCACCTGATGATTTTCCTGGGCAGTCAAAATCGTATCATGAGAAACGGGGGAGCGTACACAGAAGCTTGACACTTGAGACTCGCTTTCGGTTGGTAGGTTGTTTGGACGCAGTGCGAGGACAATGGGTGTGGCGTGGTAAGTACGCGAGGACCGGCAAGCACGTGCCCATAAAAGGCACTCTTGTCGAAGTTCGACTATTCCTCCCAACCACACTGAGACCACCCGTGTCCCTCTTCAGAGGCCCCTCCTGCTCCCTTGTTACCAAGCCACAATCCTATAATAAGCACAATAATCAGTGGACGGTACGTTGGCTCACTTCCCTTACTGATTCTTGCCCGCGCCACACGTGTCGCTCACGTCGTATCGCAACCACAGCGCCACTCCAGTCACGATGAACAAACCGTCCTTCAGCTCCATTCCGCCGGAGCTTATGGCCAAAGTGGCCGACGACGTGGTGGCCGACTTGGACGCCACAACGCCCGACCCCGCCACCCGACAGTCTCAGATTGTTTCCTTAACCCACATCTGCGGCAGGTGGAGGGAACAGCTTGTGAACAACCGGAAGTATTGGACGGCCATATTCATTCAAACGGTCGGCAGTCTGAAGGACCTCATCGCTCGCTCCCGCAACGCCACATTGACAATCGCCGGATCGCTTGACGACAACGACGGTGGCAACGACGTCGAGGATCGCCGCAAAGACAACAAGGAGAAACTAGGCGTGGTGATGGGCGTCCGCTCCCGGCTTCGGTCCCTCTGTAT